ACTATATTCTCCAACCTTGAGATATTAAATATTCAACACATTGTAGTACCAGTAGTCACCATTTTATTGAAGACTTACGATGTAGCAAACACTATACTGAATACTTTACACTTGTGCTCTTACTTACCCTCATTCTCATTTCACAGTAGGGATACCAAGACTTAATAAACTCAAATTCAAATTGATTTGAATCTAAACCCTCTGCTCTTCATTATCTTATTTGATTTGGGTTTTTTTAAATTTCCACAATTATAAAAATGTTACTCATTTGTGTCTGAAAGTTTAGTGAAGCTGAGAGATTTACTAAATTTTAAAGATTTTCTTCCCTGATTGATTGTATATGTGTGTGGTTTGTGAAGGAGAAAAAGAGAATATGCAGAATTAAATAAAAAAAAAATCCCAACCTATACTTGGCTCACAATACCAAAGACTTTCTCCTTGAACAATTGCAGATATTTTAAGTGAAAAATGGCAATTGTTTGTTTCTTCTCTGGAGTAGAAATTTCTTGGCAAAAGGGATCATTTAGGTAGCTCACAACTGTTCACATTTAGAAACTCTGGAAACTCCCCTAGGGTGATTTGCAAATTTTGCTGAACATTTTTTGAGTGGGGAATTTGTTTAAAAAATAGACTATTGGAAAGTAAAAATTATTTAAAATTTTTTCCAATGTTGGTTTTTAAGAGAGCGAGAAAATGTGAGTAGGGGAGGTTGCAGAGAGTGGGAGACACAGAACCTGAAGCAGACTCTAGGCTCTGAGCTGTCAGCACAAAGCCTGATGTGGGTCTCTAACCTATGAACCCGAGATCGTGGCATGACCTCAACTTACTGAGCCACCCAGGGATCCCTGAAAATAAAAATTCTTCTCTAATTCCAAAAATTGACAAATAAGGAAGAAGGAAGTAGCAGTTTCCTCTGGCTTCTGACTTGAGAGCAAGTGAAGCTTAAGGGTTCAGTGTATTAGAATTCTGCTCTCTGTGAAAATACAGATTAAACATGGATTAAAACTCCAAAGATACTCAAGTTTATAATTGATTTAGCTGATGTTATCATATTATGAGCAGCACAACTAATGAAGAACAGCAAATCATCACTAATGGTGACAGGGATGAGTTAATTTTGGCTACAATTGGATTTGCTTAAAACAGAATAAATTTTATATCAAAATAAGATTTTAGTACTAGAGATAATTTATTTTCACTACACTTTGCTAATATCTTTATGAATTATTTCAAAAAGACTAAATACTTCTAAAATTATTTTCAAAACCTTCCATTGGCTTGAAATGCCTTGATGACTTTGTGTAAATCAGAAGCACATGTATTATTTTCTCTAGAATGCATATAATCCTGAGAGGAAAGAAAGTTAATGGTTCAGAATTTTTTAAATCCTAAGTAAAGCTGAAATGTTAAGGCATTCAGAATCTCCCAAAGTGATTGGAATCTCTGTAAAGTAATCAATTGGAAGCTTGTACAATCTTCTGATGTTTGGGAATTGGGCACTGAAAAAGAATCTGTTATAGATGTAGTCAATTTGGAAATGGCGAGCTGCATCACCATAGGCCAGTGTTTAAGGATTACAGGGTACCGCTGAAAATGGACCACCTTATGCCAGAAGAGATGTGGTTATTACCAGAAGAGCCAGGCCAATGGTGAGTTTTGTCTTTTTGATCACGGAGCATCTTTCTACGTTTTGGTTTATTGTGTATTCATGTTGAATGTTTTTAAATAGAGAACATCCCCATAAAACCCTGAAATACCAAAATGGAAATATTCTTATAGGTGGTCTAGTTCAGAAGAATTGTTTCAAATATGAGTAAATGTGGGTCTGAGGAAATTAGATGACCAATCCAACCACCAAATAGTGTCCGTTTTGGTGCAAAAAAACAGTATCTTAGTTCACACTCCAGAACTTTCCCCAAAGCCTCTGATGGAAAGTGAAAGCATTAAACACCTTTATTTTAATTAATGTATATTTTTCAGGAAAGCACTACAGGCACATAATTGAAAGATCAATTAGCATTATTAAAGCCTTTTCACAAGTAAACAGATATTATCCTCTCTGACTTTTCACATCCAACTTGATTTTGGCTTCCTTCCTTTCTTGCCAGTGAGATGCACAATTCCACTTTATTTCAACTTCTCTTTATTCTCCCACAGGATTTTTTTTGTCCTTTAGGAATTTTCTCTTCATCACTAGTTTTTGAGATTTCATGTGAGTGTAGGTGGAGTGCTGGGAAGGTTCCTTTGTTGGTTACAGCACACCATTTTCAATAAAGGAAACCTATGCTGTTTCGTTCTATAAAATCTCACTCCCCTCTCTTCTAGCTGTTCTATTTTTCTTGGACCTTCTATTACTTCAGAGTTGGGCTCCGGAATTGATTTCCTAATTTTCTTATTTTTTTATTATCCAATTTTCATTTTGTATATCTTTTTCTTTCTAATTTTTTAAATGTTTTTATTTATTTTTGAAAGAGCGAGTACAAGTGGCGGAGGGGCAGGGGAGGGGGGGGACTGAGGACCCAAGCAGACTCCATGCTGACAGCAGTGAACCTGATGCGGGGCTGGGACTCAAAATCTGCGACGTCATGACCTGAGCTGAAGTTGAATGCTCAACCACCTGAGCCACCCAAGCGCCCTTGTCTTTTTCTTTTTATAGCTTAGAGATTTTCTTCACTCTTCTGTTTTTTTAATTTATAAAATGTTTATGTATTTTAACACTTTTCCCTTCATAATCTAATGTTCTTGTGTTTTTTCTCTGAAAATAGTAAGGGCTACAATACATAGAAGAATATTTAGTTCTTTTTATATCCCTCAGTAACATTTGAATTTTCTCTCAGGGGTTTTTTTCTAAATTTTGTTTAATACATCTCCTGGGATTTACTGTTAAGTACCTTAAGGTTTTTGTTCTATTGTGGCTAGTACATTTTTTCTGTTTTTCTGTTTAGTGTACAAAAATGCTCTTGAGGTACCTGGGTGGCTCAGTCAGTTGAGCATCTGACTGCAGCTCAGGTCATGATCTCATGGTTTGTAAGTCAGTGCAGAGCCTGTTTTGGATCCTATTTCCCTCTTTCTCTCTGTCCCCCCTCCCCTCGCTCGGCCCCCCTCCCCTCGCTCGGCCCCCCTCCCCTCGCTCGCCCCCCCTCCCCTCGCTCGCCCCCCCCTCTAAAAAATTAGGGGCACCCAGGTGGCTCATTCAGTTGAGTGTCCACCTTCAACTTAGTTAATGATCTTACGGTTCGTGGGTTGGAGCTCGGCATCAGGCTCACCAATGTCGGGGCAGAGCCTGCTTTGGATCTCTGTCCTCCTCTCTCTTTTCCCCTCCTCTTCTCGTGTTCTCTCTCTCTCTCTCTCTCTCTCTCTCAAAAATAAGTAAAAACATTTAGAAAATAAAAAGATTAAAAAACATTTTAAATGCTGTTGACCTCATGTGTTGAACTGTCATGCAGAAATCTTGCTATACTCCTTTGTTTTTGGTTCTCATGTATTTTCATTTATAACAAGCATATTATATAAAAATGATTGCGGTATAATATTTATACCTAGTTTCTGTTTCTTACCTTTTGTTTTGGCATAAAATTAAGACAACTTGGATATATATGTTGAATAGTAATGGTAATGGAGAGCATCTTGGTCCTGTTCTTGAGTTTAATGGGAATGTTGTATGTTTTTGGTAGATCTGCTTCATCAGGTCTAAGGAAGATCTCTCTTTTCCTCAGTTTTAAGTCATGGAATGAGTGTTGAATTTAGTCAAATGAACTTTATTTATTAAATGATAACTTGGTTATTCTGTTAATACTTTTAATTACACTAAATAATGGCCATTAAATGGGAACCATCTTTATATTCTTAACAAATCATCAGTATTCCTGTTTTTTCCTTTTGCCTCAGATTCCAATATGGCTGTTACTGAGCTTGTCTTTTTAATAATTTTGATATTTTCATCATGAATTGTTTTATTTTTTAAGAATGCTATATTACAATATTATAGGTCTTAGTTATTGACTTTTTTTTTTAACATCCTCTCAAATTTTGTGCCTGTGGCCTCACTCGAGACCCAACCCTAGCAGTCAGATCACAAATTTCAGATAGTGCTTATATCAGTTGCGAACCTTGGAGTGGACTTGTGAATCAAACCTGGTTAATCAGAAAGTCACAGTTCTCTAAACATGATGTTGGGTCAGGGCTGACCATCGATATTTGGGTCAAAGAGGGTATAGCCAGGATTTTCTTTAATAAAAAAAAATTTAGAGCAGTTTTATATTTATAGCAAACTTGAAGGAAGAGTCCAGAGTGTTTCCATATATCCTCTACCCTGACACATGCATGGCCTCTACCATCATCACCATCCCCCAGCAGAGTGTTACTTTTGATATAGTTGAACCTCCACTGACACATAATGATCATCCACAGTTCATAGTTTGTACAGCAACAGGGCTGAACCAATATAATCTCTGGGTTTGGATATATATATATGATGACACATTCCCATCATTGTGAGCTCTCATACAGAGTATTTTTACTGTTCTGAAAATCCTCTGTGCTCTGCCTATTCATCTTTCCTTTCCTACCTACCCCCGGTAACCAGTGATCTTTTTACCATTTCCATAGTTTTACTTTTTCCAGAACACCATACATTTGGGATCATGCAGCATGTAGACTTTTTCAGATTGGCTTCTTTCACTTTGTAATATTCATTAACGTTCTTTCATATATTTTCATCGTTTCATAATTCATTTCTTTTTGACACTGAATAAAACTCCATGGTCTGGATGTAACCGTGTATCCATTCATCAACTGAAGGACATCTTGGTTACTTTCAAGTTATGGCTACTATGAATTAAGTTGTTAAACATATCTTTGTACAGACTTTTGTTTGTCAACTTCTGTGGGTAAATTGCCAGGAGCATGATTGCCAGATGGTATAATTAAGAGTATGTTTACTTTTGTAAGAATCTGCCAAATTGTTTTCCAAAGTGACTGTGGCAGTTTTGCATTCCTACCAGTGATGACGAAGAGTCGCTCTTGCTCCATCCATGTCTTGCCACCATTTGCTGGTGTCCGTGGTGGTGTCTGTGTACTGTCCATTCTATAGGTGTGTAGTCGTAGCTGACTATTGTAAGTTGTTGTTTACTGATGGTGTAGAGCATCTTTTCACATGCTTGTGTCCTCTCTAGGTCTTCTTTGGTGAAGTATTGGTTGAGATATTTAAACTACTTTTAATAAGGTTATTTAGTTAGTTAGTTAGTTAGTTTTAAACAGTCTTTGAATGTTTTGGATAACAGTCCCTTATCAGATGTGTCTTTTGAAATATTGTCTCCTCGTTCATGGCCTGTCTTCTAATCTCTTGATACTAGATTTTGTACAGCATAGGATTTTAATTTTAATGAAGTCTAGCTTATCAATTATTTCTTTCATGGATTGTGGCAGAGGCCAGGGAGTGAGTCTAAATGTTTCTAGAAAACTTTATCTGAGAGGATGTGGACCTTAAATTCTGGAAGTCATGTTGAAACACTATGAGATTAAAAAAATAAAGGTAAAAAATGTTGGGCAGCAGAATCAGGAATAAAGATGGATTTAGTTTTATTGACAATATGAAGCCCTGAGTCCATCTATACTAAAGTAAAATACCTTTGGCCTTTCTAATTTTTTAAATGTTTACTCTTGAGAGAGAGAGAGAGAGAGAGCGAGAGCGTGTGAGAGTGAGCAGGGAAGGGACAGTGAGAGAGGGAGACACAGAATCCGAAGCAAGCTTCAGGCTCTGAGCTGTCAGCACAGAGCTTGATGTGGGGCTTGAACTCTTGACATGAGCTGTTAGATCATGACCTGAGCCAAAGTCTGATGCTTAACTGACTGGCCACCCAGGTGTACCTACCTTTCCAATTTTGTGATCAAATATATCCCTGTTTCATTTCAGACCATTGGGGTCAGAATTTTTTTGGATGAAGAATTTTAGAATTTTTGGATGAGAAAGTCCTATTCATTGTCCTAATGCTCTTTTTATTGTATGATATGACTAAATGCCCACACACCTCTCTCTCTTTGGTAAAATGAATTACCATGTATCATTATTCCCTTAAAAAAGTGGTCTGAATAATTCTAGCCAAGACACCAGCTATGTAGTTCAGAGATTGGTCCTAACAGACTAATAAGATAAAGGTTTCATGATCTATAGAGCAGAATACAAGAAAAGCAATTCAGGTGTGTTCATGTGAAAGTTCTTAAAGAACTGAAAGTTAAAGGTTGGAAACTAAATTCAAATGCTAACTTCATAAGACAAGATGAAGATGAGACAGGATGAGATAAGAGCAGGAGCAGCTTATGAAGGAACCCCAGGTTTCTCCTAAATGGTTACTTTAATGCCATTTTCTTCTGGTATGGAAATGGTCCATGATATCTTCAATAGTCAAGATTGGGAGTCATGTATAATACATAAAATGCATTTTATATGTTGTGAGATGATTGGAAAAGATACATATGGAATGGAATATGGATTGTAAAGCAGGTGTACTAATGTGTTTGACAAATAAGAAGTCCTAGTACATGAATTCACATTTGAAATTGAAATGAGATTATTGGAAGATTCTAATAAAGAAGGTAAAAGTCAACTGGACGCTATGGAACAATTTTTTTCTTTGTCTTAGGACTTAATCTTTGTAATAACTGAAGAACACTAGGTTTTTCTGAAGTATAAAAAACTTCATGATGGGACACTTGTGTGGCTCAGTTGGCTGAGCATCCAATTCCTGGTTTCGGCTCAGGTCATGATGTCATGGTCATGGGATCCAGCGGTACTAGAGATTCTTTCTCACCCTCTCTCTCTGGCCTTTCCCTGCTCACATGCATACTCATGTACATTCTGTCTCTCTGAAAATAAACAAACATAAAAAAAAAAAAAACCTTCGTGAGGCACTGGGGTGGCTCAGTTGGTTGAATGTCCAACTTAAGGTCAGGTCATGATCTCATGGTTGGTGGGCTCTGAGCTCTGCCTTGGGCTTGCTGCTGGTAGTACGGAGCTCGGTTCAGATCCTCTGTTCCCTTTTCCCTCTGGCCCTCACCTGTTCATGCTCGTTCTCTCAAAAATAAATTAAAAAGGGGTCCCTGAGTGGCTCAGTCGGTTGAGCATCTGAATTCGGCTCAGGACATGATCTCACGGTTGGTGGGTTCGAGCCCCGCCATTGGGCTCTGTGCCGTCTGCTGGCTCAGAGCCTGGAGCTTGTTTCAGATTCTGTGTCTCCCTCTCTCTCTGACCCTCCCCTGCTCATGCTGTCTGTCTGTCTGTCTGTCTGTCTGTCTCTCTCTCTCTCTCTGTCTCTCTCTCTCTCTCAGAAATAAATAAAACATTTAAAATTTTTTTAAAAAATAATTAATTAAAAAGTATCTTCATGAGGGGTGCCTGGGTGGCTCAGTTGGTTAAAGGTCCCACCTTACCTCAGGTCGTGATCTTACAATCTATGAGTTTGAGCCCCACATCTGGTCCTGTGCTGACAGCTCAGAGCCTGGAGCCTGCTTCAAATTTCTGTGTTTCCCTCTTTCTGCCCTTCCCCTGCTCATGTTCAGTCTCACTCTCCCTCTTCCCCCCTAAAATAAATACACATTAAAAAAATTTTAAAAATAAAGAACAAAAAGCTTCATGAATATAACAGTTATGCTTCCTTATTAAGAATATTTTTTGTACTATAATGTAAACACTAAAATCATTTGGGCAGTTTTCAGCATAATCTGTTAATTTCCAACAGAGAATGAACAAAGTAGGTAAATACATATAAATGCTGTATAAAGTAAATCTATATAAAATTCAGTTAGATGTATTTAATTATGTAAAACAAAGTAAGACAATACCACCAGACAGCTTTTTATTTAAAGCTACAGTAAAAATAATATTTCCATGCATTAAAAATTGGAAACCATCTGAGTGTCTTTCTTGTTTAAGTAATGAAACCATGAATGGTTGTTGGAGAAAGCCGTCAACTCACAAATGTGCTATTTATATGTCCTTGGTGGCAGCTTATCACTTGACCTAAGGAGATGTTCCTGTTTATTTAAAGGCATTGCGATCCATGTAAAAATGATAACAAAGCATATTTCACAGGGATTTTGATTTCCAAGTCTAAAATTCCACAGCAAAGATCCAGTCTAAGGCAGTTACTTCTGTATACATTATGTGTGTGTATATGTATAAATATTTGAAATCAAGATAGAAAATTTTTAAGTTAATGAATGCATACTATTTTATAATGATGTTACTTTCATCCTAAGGTATAAAACTTATTTGTAATTGTATGTTAGAACTTCATATTCAGCCTCAAAACATAGTGATTTGATAGCTCACATCAGCTAGACCCTGACTTCACATGGATAGTCTGGAAGAGATAATATTTTTAAGTAGGAAATCAGCATGAATAAGCTGACTAAATAGTATTCAGTGAATAGTATATACCCTTTTAATTAAATTGAAATAGTCATGAAAGAAAGCAGTAGTGTAATTATAATATATATTATATATAATATATATTATATATATAAATTTATATATATTTTATAATATTTTTATATATTATATATATATTATAATATATATATAAATTACAAGATTTCAAGCCAGAGGAATAGGCAGAATTATAATACTATTGCTAGAGAGAGATCATAAAGCTAAACTAAGTGGATGAAGTGATTGTTTCCAGATAACAAGTTCAAGTTTAAATGCAACTTTTGAGATGAACGTTATAGGAATTGAAATGTCTAGGAGGCTGTTGAGATGCCAGACTGCACATAGCTCAGCAGAAAAGGAAAGGTGTAGATCTGGTTAAAGTGAATTAACTCCAAAGAGAGACTATGTAAAACCCTGAGAGTGATTAGCACATAGATTTTCTAGTGGATTACTTCTTGCTGGTAGACTCTTCAGTAGTAGAGTTTTCCTCTTCCACATAAATAACATGACTTTTTCTTCCCCCTGAAGCATGGCTTACTTATTGGTTGCATTGCATGCAAAGCCTAATGATAAATGAATAGGTTTCAGGAGGATTCAATATTCTTGCTATTTTGGGTAAGAAAATTTTGTTAAGTAATAAAATTAGGAAGTATATAAACAATTTACTTTTGATTGCCATTAAAAATTTCCCTTTCCACCAAGTTTCTGTACTTAACATACAACTATTCCACCATTTTTACTAATATGGTGGGTCGTAAGCACACACAAAAAATAGTTAAATTAATCAAAATCAGACTCATGATAGAGTTGACTCTTCGTACAGATAATGGTATGGCTCAAGATTTATTGAGGTACTATTTTATAAGAAAGGAGAGAAAGTATGTTTAGGGAGAGAAGCACATAACAGAATTCTATTACCAGCTTTCACACAGTTGAGTGATCCTTATAGAAGAAAGTGCTTGTCACCATGTTTGATGTGAAATCCAAAAAGTGCTTGACTTTTAATAGCTGTATTTATTCATCTGGGCATAGACTATAAAGACCATCATATACATGATCAAAACAAATAAATGACAACATATTTTCAAACAGATAATCACCAAATGGAAAAATGGACTGTTTTGATGTGGCTAGGAATATGATAGTTTATAGTTAATGAAAAATAGAAAGGGATTGAGGAATAAGTAAATTCACAGTAGTCTGTTAATAAATCATCATCCTTGAATAAGCAATTTGACTAGATTAAGAAATGAATTCTGATAGAAGTGTATTAATAGCAGTTAATTTGTACATAGAAAATTCATGGAAATATTTATTAAAAGAATTTCAGGAAAGAAAAAACTAAAATTATAGTGAAAAGTTTCATCCAAAATATTTAGAATTTATGTAATAATGTAACATATATATATTATTTTAAAGTGTATTTATTTATTTTGAGAGAGAGAAAGAGAGTATGTGAGTGGGGAAGGGACAGAGAGAATCCCAAGCAGGCTCCATGCTTTCAGCACAGAGCCTGACCCTTAGAGCACAAGGTGGGGCTTGATCTCACCAACCATGAGATCATGACCTAGCCAAGATCAAGAGTCAGACGCTTAACTGACTGAGCCACTCAGGTGTCCCCACATTTATATTTTTTTTAACAAAAATTTTTTCATATCTTATTTTCACTATCTGCTTCCTTCTCTTTCTTTTAGTTTTAATTAATCCTCTTTTTGAAGTTCTTTGGATGAAACCTACAAAAGGAAGAGAAACAAATTTATTCATAATAAAGTAATACAATAAAACATTTTATCTAAAATTTTCTCAAATTATCCTTTAATATTTAAAAACAAAAATAGTCTTAAAAGTCTAATTTGTCTGTCTTTGTGTAGAACAATCTAATTCTAAGGAAGTCATTTTACATATATAGGAATTAGCAAAAATTGATAAGCATATTATTGATTTTTATTATTCATCTTCAGTTAGAAATACAACCTTTTTATTAAAGTGAACACGTGGTTGTATATGGTTGGTGGGATTATATGTGATTTTTATTTATAAATACTGAATATACATGCATCATTTTTATATTTAGAAGCAAATTAGTAACTACATTAAAATGCTGTACATTATAAGATACTTGAATCATTTAAAATGAAAGCTTACTATATAATATTATAAGAAAATGTTTTGTTTAAAATTGATTATTTTTTTGTGAAGTGACGTTAAGAGGAATGATAGTCAATACCTCCAGAACTATAAATCTAGATGTAATTAAAAGGGGAGACATATATAAGTTAAACTATAATTCTGATTATAAGTAGAATTAATTTCATAATTTTCTTAGATTAAAATTTGTTCATAATTTCATTGCAATTGTTATCCTAAATACTAGTGAATGGGAAGAGTTTTTTTCTATACCTTTTTGACAAGTCCTCAGACAATCACTTTTGGAAGTAAAATTATTTTCATTCCCTCCACATCCACTGTATTTAAACGGACGGCATTTCCCAATGACTGAATTGTAGTAGAATCGGCTCACATTGGCTTGACACAGTCCTCTGTCTGCTGGGGTCAGACACCAGGAAGGGCCATAAAATTCTAAGAACATCAAGAAAACAGGGTAAATCATACATGATAGTTAATCTGAGACTTTCATATTATTTATTTATAGATTGGCCTTGTGGCATGTTTATAGAAAACAGTAATCTGAATGAATAAAGGTAGTACTCTCTGAAACCCATGTATTTCAGTTTGAGGAAAATGCTTTACTAATCTCCATGTGTCCAGTACAGTAAGACCTATCTCAAATAAAAAAGCACATATGTTTGTTAAAGGAAAGTGCTATGTGACTCTTTAAAATGAAAAACACTAGTTGTACATAATAAGACTATCCAAAAAATTATAAAAATTTGTTAACCATATTCATTTGAAAAAAATGATCAATGTTTATATACCATTTTTGTTCATGAATGTTCAACTTTCAAGGGTGCAAAATCCTTAAATTTCATGTAGCAAGTCCTTATTTGCTGTATGATGCAAGAACTGACGCTGAGGAAGTGTTTTCTTGACTAACATTCTAAATGATGTAACATAGTCACAATTTAAAGCACAGGAATTCAGGTATAGCAAATTCTAACTTTAAGCTTCAGAGAAGGAGCCCTAAAGAAATGGTTTGGTGTAGTAAGAAAGTTTTCTTGTGAATGGAAAAATCAGGTCTAGAGGAGTTAGATGTTGTTGCAAAGGAAGGATACTGTTAAAGTGGGTGAGATAAAACACTGACAAGTTAAACCCAGACACAGGCTGGTATGTCCATGGGACTAACCACTTTAAAAACAGAATAAAGAAAATGCAACTAGGGTAGTAAAAGGATCACTCATTTTCTTTCTTTTTTTAAATGTATGTTTATTTTTGAGAGAGAAAGTGTGAGTGGGGGAGGGGCAGAGAGACGGAGATGGGACATAAGATCCATATCGGGTTCTGCGCAGAAGGAGAGATATACGTGGCTCCCACTACCCCCTCAAACACAATCGGCAAGATCATGACCTGAGCAGAAGTCAGACACTCAACTGAGCCACCTAGAAGCCCCATGGATCACTTATTTTCTTAAGGCAGAGCCAGTTTCAATACAATGGTAGCTTTTTGCTCTTTTGGGAATTCCTGTCAGTGAGGGGAAGCTGATTTTAGCAGATTTCAACTGCTTGATCTTAATGAGCCAATACTACAGGCAAGTCGGTAGATGGTGAGGAATCAATATAAGAAAACTGTACTGGATGGAGGGAGGGGCAAGATGGTGGAGAAGTAGGGAGCTCCGTACCTGCACTCGCGCCCGGGCATCACACGGTAAAGACCTGAAGCCATAGGAAACCATACCAAACCCAAGAGATTGGGAGAGAAAGGACCCAGATTCCACTGAGAAAGCATTCTAACGTGAATGCGAATTGTGGAAGATAAAATTGGGCCTGGATTGTAGACTGGAGAGATGGGCCACCCCCCTCTGTGGGGAGTGAGAGGGGAAAAAGAGTCTGAAACAGAAAAACCTCCGCTCGGGGGGAAAAAACCTCTACTCGGGGTGTAGAAAAACTTTGCGCACAAAATACCTGCGCGTCAGGCCCCCCACGCTCCAAGTCGCCCCGGAGGGGCTGCGCTCACGGTTTGCTTCTTTTGTGCTGGCTACAGCTACTGGCTGGCTGGGAGAGGTTGCACGCCTGCAGCCATTGCCCTCCTGGTGGGCTTGGACCCCCTGGAGGAGGCGCGCAGGCACTGGCGGCGTCCGTGCTCCTAGCTGGCTGGAGCTCTAGAGGGAAGGCAGAGCGCTAAAAACTGGCAGATTTGACCGTGAGTTCGTGTTTTGGGTGATGAGACACAGAGGGACCTTGATTTCCTCACTCCAACGGGCTCAGCGCACCGGCAGACAAGCCCCCCCACCCCGCCCAGGCTCCCCAGCCCGACCTGGAGGAGAAGGGAGCAGCGGCTTCTGGCTCCACCCCCAGAGCTAGCCTGGAAGCTTGGAATTGCCCTGAGGGGGCTGCCAGGGGATGGCCTGAGGCAATTTCAGCAGGGTGCTTGACCTGGGATTTGGAGGCTGGGACTGGCCTGGGTTGAAAAGCGCAACAAACTTTGGCTGAGCCCCTGGCCCAGGAAGTTTACACGGCTATAAAAGCAAGGTGAAGCGCCACCACTCCCCTCCCTACAACCGCCAAGGCGGAACCCCACCAGACGCATTGGATCACACCACGCCCATCCCTGCTTGAGAGCTGCCCTCCTCCCTTTTCCCTTTTTTTTTTTTTTTTTTTTTGGTTTTGGTTTTGGTTTTGGATTGTTTTTTTTTTCTTTTCTCTTTTTTTCCAGAGAACACTGACCTGATTACCTCTGGTCACCGGTGTGCTTAAACAATCAAATTTAGTCCATTCTATAGATGTAAATTCTACACCTTCCAACCTTTTCATCTCTTTCTCTCAGGAGTAATTAGACTATATAGTTTCTCTGGACAATACCAGCGTCCTTCTCTCACCCAGCCAACCATACTCCACCTTTTAACTCTTTGAAAAAAAGCTTCTTATCCCTTCTGCCTGTTCATTCTATTCTATTTCCAATTTTGCTTCACACCACCCCCCCACCCCCCCGGCCTGTCTTCTCTGTCTCTATGCTCTTCAACCAGCACTGCATACATCCAGCGATTTAATTATAGCTGGGAAATCCGGTTATATGCTATAAACCGTTCTTTGTCCATTGGTATTCTTCTTTTTACCTTTTCTTTTCTTCCTTTTAACCTTTTTATGTATTCTTTGATTTTCTATTATTCACCCTCCCTCCTCCGTCTTTTCCCTTAACTTTTTCGCTGTCCCTCTTGGTTTGCATTTTAGTCGGATTTGTCTGTACATTTGTGTGCCCCGCTCCCTGTGTGTTTGTCAGTCTGTTTTCCTCTCCAGTGCTACCTCAAGAAATAAGCCACAGTACACATGGTGGAGAAGCCCAGATATCACTACGAGTAGGAAAACAAAATAACCAAGGTCTCAACAAGAGAGACAAAGAGATACCGTTCAAAAAACACTCTCTGAAAGGATAGGCCCTGGACAGTCAAAGAGTCTTCCTGGATACAGCAGCACTCACAGGTGCAGACAGCATAACAGGTCTTAAAAATTAACAAGTCCAGAAAACTAACTAAAATGACGAAATGAAAAAGCTCTCCCCCAAAGAAACTCCCAGAAGAACTGACAGATAATGAACTGCTCAAAACAGATATAAGCAGTATAAATGAACAAGATTTTAGATTAATAATCATAAAAGTAATAGCTGGGCTTGAAAAAAACATAAGGGACATCAAAGAAACTATCGCTACAGACAAAATGGAGAATATAAATAGGCATGAAGAATTTTAAAAAAGTGATAAATGAGATACATAATAAATTAGAGGCCTCCAATGCACGGATTGAAGAGGCAGAAAGGAGAATAAGTGATTAGAAGACACCATTATAGAAAAACAAGAAGCTGGCAAAAAAGAGACAAACTGATCCAGGAACATGAAAGAAGAGTTTGAGAGCTCAGCGACATGGTCAAACGCAACAATATCTGTATTCAGTATCATAGGAATCTCAGAAGAGGAAGAGAGGGGGAAAGGTGCTGAAGAAGTCCTGGAACAAATTAAGCAGAGAACTTCGCCGACCTGGGAAAAGAAGCAAATGTTGAAATACAAGAGGCTCAGAGGACCCCCCTCATGTAATCTGAATCGACCTTCTGCAAGGCATATCATAGTAAAATGGCAAAATATAAAGACAAAGAGAAAATTTTGAAAGCAGATAGGGAGAAAAGGGCCCTAACATACAAAGGCAAACCTATCAGAGTGGTGACAGACCTGTCTACTGAAACGTGCCAGGCCAGAAAGGAATGGCAGGAGATCTTCAATGTGATGAACAGAAAAAATATACAGCCAAGAATCCTCTACCCAGCAAGCCTGTCATTCAAAATAGAAGGAGAGATAAAAATCTTTCCAAATAAGCAGAAATTGAGAGAATTTGTTGCCACTAAGCCAGCCCTACAAGAAATCCTGAGGGGGACGCTCTGCAGGAAAGGTTGCAAGGAACAAAGATACCCGAGACACCACCACAAGCATGAACTCCACAAAGGACACAAAGACTCTAAACCCACATATCTCACTAATAACACTGAATGTAAATGGGCTGAATGCTCCAATCAAAGACATAGGTAGTAGAATGGATAAAAAAAAAAAACAAAATCCATCTATATGTGGTCTACAAGAAACTCATTTTATTTATTTATTTTTATTTATTTCTAGGAGAGAGAGAGAGAGACAGCGTGAGCAGGGGAGGGTCAGAGAGAGAGGGAGTCACAGACTGAAACAGGCTCCAGGCTCTG